AAAAATATCAATTATATACATGATTGCAGCAAAAGATTACAGACTGAAAGCTGTCGTCGTTTGAAAATATAGCTTCCATGTAGACAATTCTACAAGACTTTTAAACTTGTTCCTTAACTGGGTTTAGTTTAACAGGTTTCTTTTTTATGATGTTATCGGCTGCATTTTTGTCTCCAATTCAAGTTAATTAGTCATGAAGATGATAAATCTTCAAAATTTTATCATACTGATATAATTTTTCTTCAGATTCCATATCCAATCTTGTGAATGCAAGAATATTGCTGGAGTCTTGATTTTCATGTTTACTATTCTTTTAACTATTTCAAATCTTGCGTCAACTGTCAATGAAATTTTCATATTCTACAAAACCCGTAAAAGAAGTAAACAAGAGAAACTGTCATTCAAACCTAACCCGTTTTTTCTTGCATTGAGAAAGGATAACATGCAGTGAGAGAAAATCAAGAAAAGAGCATGGCATGTGATGTAAGCATTCCAAATCAAATCATGAACATGGGGGCCCTTTAGCGTTTCGTTCAACAAGCTGGCACTGTCAAACACATGACATCCAAAAGATTGGTGGGGGAACTGTGGCATTGCCATGTTTCATACATATCAACGCATCATCCAAAGGGAAACCAAATCATACATATGAACAACATTTGGATGGCCCCGTGACTCGCCCTGCCATGACCGGAACAGACACAGGAAGAAGAAACTAATCCAATTAATATACCTTGAATCAGTCCTACAGAAAGGAGGACCACAATCAACCAAAAACTTAATGTAAACAGAAGAATGAAAACTTGACAAGGCAGTTTGTCAAACCTTAGATAAAGACCTTTTATGGTAGTCTTTATAGACAGTTTCAATCAGATTTAATCAGGGACTCACGCCTGCAACCATTTCTGATATCCAATTATCTTTGATGGGTCCCCATAATCTTTTTAGCTTTTTCAGCTTTGTTTTAGTGGTATTAAACAGGGAATGACATCACCATCATGAAATTGGGATGTAACTTCCTCATCATAAATTTTTTTTACTGTTTTTTTTTCCCCAAACCTTGTTGTCCCAATGTAAAAAGGAAGCTTTGGATTGCCGATGAAAGAAAAAAAAAAAAATCTTTGAAAAGTATGCTCAAAGGAAAGATTTGGGGGAAGATTCCTAGAATGATTCTTTGGTCAAAAATCAAACACGACTTGCAGAAAATACCAATAATTAAGCTGATAAAAACCCTTTAACGTCATTTCTCTCAATTGTGAACAACAGGCTCTGAAAGCTCTATGAATTTGCTGCTCGGCTCTTTTTTTTTTTTTTTTCACTCCATGTCTAATTTCTTCCCTCGTTTATCCACAGAATTTCTACTTGTATATATGGGATTTTCTCCCATTTTTGAATACATATAATAATAAATTAATAAAATATTGGTTTCTGAAAATATGGCAAATACTAAATATTGGTGGATTTGGGTTGGGCATAGTATGAACCACAAAGTCACGGCCCAATTCGTTTTGTCCCCATCCAACGGGCTAGAGGGGGAGGGTTGGGCCATGACGATTTTTTTTTTTTGATGAAACGAAACGATACTTTAGATCCAAAAGAAGGATATCGGTTTTTTTTTTTTTTTTTTTTTTACAGTTAATTTCAGGTGATTAAAACAAATTGCTTCACATGTAGCATTTTTATTTTTTTGTTGATAAGCATGATATTAAGGCTTTTTGCGATAGATATATATATATATATATCTTTCAAAACAAATGCTTAAAAATTATGATATTATTATAATCAATTAGTGTATATAATTTTAAAAATATTTTTATCATCTTAATAAATATTTTTAGAATATTTATTAATAAATGATATTTAACATATTTGGAGTTTAAATTTTAACACATCTAACCTTTTTCTTTTATTTTTAAATTGTGATTTTTTTTATATCAAAAACAAAATCTTCTGCTCCAAGATACATATCTATGTCAATTATTTTTGGCCAATAAATTGCACGTCAAATTGATAATTGGGTATTTATTACTTGTAAAACAGGTACGTAATCTAGTAGTCAAATGTTGATCATCTCTTCTAAAATGAAATCTCGCAAGAAAGTTTAATTTCCTTAAGGTATCCTACCAAGAAAGTTTAATTTCCTTAAGGTATCCTACCAAGAGAATTAAAATATACTTCTGTCTTTTTCTCAATGAAAAAAATATATTATTGGAGAAAAGACAGAAGGATATTAATAATTCTGCATTAAATTTCTGCACTTTCCACAAAAATTGGGGAAAGAGGTGTTTGTCAAAAGAAAATTGGTCATTTTAAGCTCTCCTGATCTTCAAATATTGTTTTTTTTTCCTGATCTTATATATCCATGATGTGATCTTATATTAAGAAAAATATTGAAGGTATTATAAAAAAAAAAAGGGAAAAAGATTGAAGGAGATGTTAAGATGGACAATTTGTTAATTTGAACATGAATATGGAACTTTATTTGTTGAAAATTGAATTAAAAGAGGTCTAAATGGATAAGTTATTATGAGAACAAGAAATCATTTCCTAGAGATAAAACCAGCAATAAGTAAACGTTGTAAATGGAATGAGAGTAAGAGACAAAGGATATAGCAAACCAGGAACAAGGCCAAGGTTTATATAAATAACAATTATTCAGGCGTGTGTTTCAGGTGTTTTCTGTAAATAGACAGATTGTTATCGAGATTGGTGCAACTGTTGGGACTTCTGAGTGTCTCAGACAAAAGTACAAAATGGACTTGGTTAAGAAGATATGGTTGTATATAATCTGTCCACTGGCTATCCATTCAAGGTTAAACGGTAGCCAAGTACAACAGCAACTACTGTCCAAAAAACTTGTCCATAAGACGAACCAGACATCGAAATGAAGATTCAAAACATTCATCGATCGCCCAAAGGCTTTTTCTGATATCCCATTTTGTTTGAACTTCCTGATAACTAGCTGAATCATTCCTTCAGGGGGTCTAAAACAAGATTAATTCAAGCTGCTTTTTTTGAGTATGCCAGTCTTCCTTCATCAAGAATCAGAAGTGCCTCCTTCAGCAGCTATATATTAATATGGTTAGTGAAGATCTTTTCTAGACATCTTACCGTCATGTCATGGTTCATGATCATGCTTTTGAATAATCGTTAATCCAACAAGTGAGGTCGAGTTTTGTTGAATGGTGATGAGTATGGGTGCAATTACATTTCTTCTTGTGATTCTATTGATTTTTGCAAATTTTGGAGCTCCAGCCGGTGCTCCTGGAACTTACAATTTCTCCCAGACGGATTCATTCTGCAAAATTTCTTGCAATAACACTTTGGAGGACAAGAGAGGTGTGCCAACAGGAGCAAATCCTCTCCATAACAGGCAGAAGAAAGGAAGAAATTAAGTTGGAGGTTAATTTCCCCAAGCTCCTCAATTTTTATTACGAGGATGGAATCATAAGTTGCATTTGCCAACCTAGCTACTCTCTCTGATACATCAATCATAATGTCCCTTGTAATTAATCTAGTGCAAACCTACCCTTTGAATTGAAATGATGACAAGATATGATAATCATAATTAACTTTTCTTCACATGAAAGATGCATGCTGATGCTGAAAACAAACAGCAAACAACCTTAAAGCATAGAACTAGAGTAGAGTATTATATTATTTTCATCTTGTCTGCTAAATGTTTTCATCAATACCACGCGTGATATGAGAGATAATTAAGCTTCTACAAATTAAATATGAAAATTACAATTAAATGATATTTCTATATATGCTTGTCCGGTATGGTTGGTTTTTTCTGATGTTCTCTTTCTGTTTGTCAGGTTTCTTATGAACCTGACTGGCCGCCTAGCTACGACAATATTCAATCACATTATATTAACAAGGATTGATTTGATTGTCAGTTACTTTATATTTGTATTTTAATTTGTAATTTAAGTATAAAAAATATAATTATTTAGCTTAACTTACCGTAATTTGAAAATAAAAAAATTATAAATTATAAATTTATTAAATATCACTTTTTAAATATGATTACATTAATTAATTGAATTTAAATTAAAATTTAATAATATAAGATTTTTTTGAGATTAACTAATTGAATTTTAATAAATAAAATACATTAAAATGATATTAATTTAATTTATATAAGGGTTTTTTTTGGAGTATATTTAAGGGTTAATTTGGTTGCATGGCTTTGTCAAGTTTTTGGTGTGGTAAATATACTATTTCTACTTAATTTGCAGAGTTTAGGTTATCAAAGTAAAATAAAGGGTTGAGCCAGTGGGCTGGCTTGCAAAAGATCTCTCAGCCCATTGAAAAATTTCCACGTATCTTGTTTTCTTAGGCCCCCCCCCCCCCCTTTTTTTACATGTAACTTATGTAAACTACTAGCTTAGACCTTCATGTATTTTTTTTTATTTTTTTCTTAAATATTTATGTAAATATATTACTTTTCACCAAAATTCTCTTTATGTAATCCACTTATTCTCACTGTATAGTTTAAATTTTCATATAAATTATAAAGGTTTTTTTTTTTCGCTTTTAGTCAAGTTATTTCCTTATGCTAATTTTATGATAGAAAAAAAAAGGAACAAAATAATTATTTTGAATCCAGATATAGTGTACATGAAATGAAAATATACTAGAATTTTAACTACATATATATGATATTATATATACAATTTACACTGTTAATATGATTTTTTTTAATAAAAAGTGTATTTAATATGATATGCTCATTGTATTTACATAGTCAGATAGTCTGATTAATTGCGTAGGATGAGAGATAAACCCTTTTCTTAGAATCTTGAGTGTCTTCTGAAGGCCCAGCCACCAAGGCCCCCTGATGAAGGGAAGAACAATCATCTAGTTGAATGTGGAATCTGTTATGCTTAATATCTCCCCATTTGTAATGCTTTACATGCTTGAGATGTTCCTGAACTATTGTTTGTAGACTTAACTCTAAAATGTTCATGCAGGTGATGGGTTCGGCCCTAGCAGTGGAACTGTGACTGATTTACACTTGTGAGAATAACAGTTGCAGCAACGCTTTCCACAGTATGTGCCTAGTGGACGGGTTGCATTCTATCACAATGAAAAGGCAGTATGTCGAGCTCTTAAAGTGGTTGTATATTTTAATCTAGTTCATACCGGAGTGTAATTTTATTTCCTATCTGCTACGTGTTGTGATCAGTTGAAAATTGTTTGGTTGCTGTGGCATTTCCTGCTGCTGGAATTGGGCTACCTATCTGCTCGAATGATCAATCCTGCAAACAAGTTGGGTCACTTAATCCTTGTTCATGTCCTTGTTTATGTCTTATTGATCTAGTACACCGAGTGCCCTTTTGCAGAAGTTGGACCCACTGTACCTGACCTCATATTCTTTAGTTTCAACTAGGTACTGTAGTACAACCTGTGATGAGAGGGGACCCACATGAAAGTTGGAGGGGCAATATAGATTGGATGTAATGTGGATGTCTTCTGGGATTTGGATGCATCTGCAATTTTTACCAAGCTGTTAAAGGCACAAATACATTGTCCAATAAATTATTGGGGCTACTTTCACCGGAAAAGGTTGAATAGCGTTAAGGTTTGATAAGTTGATGACAAAGAGCTTTTTTGCTTTTCATTTTTGTGTCAATTTACAGGTGACTCTTTCAGTTATTTGATTCAGGGTACAGTCTCTCCATACATTGTAAATCGGATTGGCTTCCAATATTTCTCATTGCTTGTGCATGCCCCTCATTTTTATTAGCTGATTTGCAGATTTGTGTTATGTTATTATATTTTTCCTCCTTCCAAACACTCGAAATAAAAGTTTCCCAAGGAATTGTTCAAATTTATCTTAACATTTTGAGATGTGAGATTATCTGCAATTAGTTTATGAAAAAATATTAGCGGAAACTGATCTTCAATGCTGTTGAAAGGCTAAACTAGCACTAGGCGTCTTTTTCACTTCATATCATACCACGTTTACCATTGGGTTTCTCTTTCTTTTTCCTTGGCAACTTGGTTGTTTAATTTATGGTTGTTCGCTTGTGTTGCAGGTCATTCAATGTTCAGTTTGGTCATTGTCCGTACTGTTCAGAGCCAGTTGCAGTCAAAATCAATACCACAAAGAATTAGAGATTTTATTAGTTCTTACCAAAGATCCCAAGCTGATTTATCCTTCTCAGAGATCCTCTCATTGAGGGGAAGATTAAAATTATAGGAGCCTGTGAATTTCGTAATGGCCAAAGCAGCTAAACTTCTGAGGTGAGGCACCATAAACTCTAAAAGATTAAAGCTTCTTTTGTCCACGCAGCTACTGAAAATCCATTCCATTTTGCTGTAATGAAGAGCATTAAAACAGGACTAACAGTTTCAGAGAATCCAATGTAGGTTTGTGCCCACTTGTACTCAACTGTTTCATTTACTGTGACTGGTGACCAACAATGACTTGTGGCTTTCTCTTTATTATTATTATTTTTTTGGAGAACAATTTCCATCTCTGCACTTGATTTTTTTTTGAAGTCATGTTAGAATCTGATTGAACGGGAATGGAGTTGCAGATGATATTGCTGCTTTGCTGCTGCTTCACAGTTCACTGGATGGTTTCTGCTTTCTAGTACTAATGGGGTCGTGCCATGATTTATTTGGGGCCCTGGACAGTAAATCGTAGTAAATACACCTATAAAATAAAGGTAGTTGGCTGGCTCTCCCCAAGTTGTATATGTATTTGAATATATCATATGTTAGCAGCTACCATGAAATTACAAATTTACAACTCCTTGTGGATTGAATGACAAAAAAGGAGGGGATTTAAGTCGTCCTTTTCTCTAGCCCATATTTTGTCCTCTTCTTTACCATGTATAAGCATTAAACTAGCGACTTAAATGACCAAAACAAAAATTAAGCCAGTGGTACTGATTTTTTTCCCTTTCTGAACCCATGTGTCATTCACTGCAAAACTTAATCTGCAGCTAAATCTTTGGCTAAGCATCCTCTCCTTCCCGAACAATGATTAAAAAAAAAAAAAAAGGCCATAACCTAGACCTCACATAGAAATGAAGTACTTTCCAAACAAATAATATATATGGACGAGATCAATGAACCGACGACTAATCGTTCACCCTGGGACCCTGAATGTGGTGCACGTGCTTAATCAAGAAACAACTTTTATGTATTTCCAGTACCAAATGAATCAATATTGGCCAAACATTCAAGTGAAATACAATGCATCAAAAGAGGGGGACCATTCATTAATCAATTCAAAGCAAACATTTCAAACACTAATGAATTTCCAGCGTTCTGTCATTTCCTTACAATAAATCTATTTTGTTGTTTTGCATCATTATGATGAACCATTAAAATACGCCAACCATTTTTTTTGAAAGCCAGCTAGATTTTTGCCTTTGGCCATGAAAAAGTATAGATAAGAGTTAAATTAATAAATTATCCTTTTGATGAAAGCTTTTATTAGGCACAAAATAATATGCTCCAAATACAGACAATACTTGTCTACAATTAGAAATTGACTTTGCCCATTCCAGGAACCCTACCTTTCACTTCACAATTATATGCACACAAGAATAACTTATTTTCCTTTATAATAACCCCAATTTTTTGCATGGCTCTCTTATAACATATATAGCTATTATTGTACAAAGGCAGGCGTGTACGTAGAGTATGACATGAAACGTATGGTATATCAATATTCTGGACAGTTGAGTTTGGATATGGAACTTTGGATAAGATTTCAGATGCCTGCCATGCACTCCGGCGGGGTAACCGGGTATCGAGACTTGTCGGTGCAGTAATTGTAGATCATATGGTTCATACGAACCCACCTGTATCTTCTAGCTTCCATGGCATTGAGGGCTTGGTAAGCAGTCCCCTCCCACCAGTTACTAGGGCTTGAGGCACAGTTTGCTGGCCCTGGCACAGGACATCCTTCAATGTCAAAGTCCTTGTAGTAGGCTAAGAAAGGAGCTTTGCTCCAATCAATTTTCTCCAGGCCTCCTCTTGTTGCCCAATCATCAGCTTCCCACAGTGTTGAATACACTCCCATTGGCTGGAACTTTGGATATGGGATGTTCCTAGCTTCATTGTTCTTGTAAACTCTGATCGGCACTTCATCAACATAGAACCTGTAAAAACCACCAACCACAATTTAACAACGACCCATTAATAATAATAACCATTTGTCAGTTTAACTCAACTAATCCTTGTATATCATTAATTAAAGTCATCCCAATTAATCATGCTTGACTTTATACGTAAAACTTTATGGTGTCTTATTAAAAGTTGATACAACTTTTATTGATTTGATAGATATTTTTTTCTCTCTTGTTTTCCTCCTCCCATTCCATTACCAATATTTTACCCAACTTACACAATATGATGATGGTTCCACATAATCGTGTAAGTATGGAAATCTGCAGCAGGATCAAACCAAAGGTTAACTCTTTGTTCCCTGTCACCCTTTCCATGAGCATAGATATTGGTTTGAACAGTATAAGGCTGCCCACTTCGGTTTCCCAAGAACTCAAAATCCAGCTCATCTCTTACAGTATCTGTATCAGAATTCATCTGCAATCCGAATTAAAATGAAAACCAACTAATTAATTATTTTTCAGTGTCTGAAAATATATATAAACAACGTGAAGCATTGAGATTAATGTAGGAACATAATATTTGATGGTCGGCAAAAGAATGAAGTTGATTAAGCTGACGTCGAAAAATAAAGCAAATCACAGATGAAAAAAAATGAATAAAAAAATTATACATATGGTTTTGTTTATCATGATTATCCAATTTAAGTTCAAAATAAATATTAATTACTTAAAATAAGTGAAAGAAAAAAAGTTAATGAATTTTGGTATAAAAATGGATCCCTCCCTTGATTATGCTAATTTTTTAATCAAGACCAATTGAACATAATCTTCAAGAAGTGCTGTCGTTCTGAAACGTAAGAAAATTGCAGATACAACAGATAAAGCAATAGAAAGATTACTTAAAGCCATGGCCGTGTAAATTAAGAAGAAAAAGGAAAAGAAAGAAAGATAAGAGAATTATTATGATCAAGTTTGTTGTAAAGATGACATGGGAGTGTAGTATATATATAGGTGGGAGATTAAAGTGAGACGGTCGATGTAGACTGCTGCATTCAAACGGAAAGTGCCATCACCAGCTTAGCTTTCTATCCAGCTAATGGCAAGCCGTCATTAGGCCCTACTACACAACTGTAGTTATTTTGCCTTCGGAACCTGATGTAACTCATACAATAGCTTATGCTTATATGATATTAGAGTTTAATTTACTCGATCCATGTAAATACTTTACGAGATGATATTTAATATATCTAAAATTTAAATTTTTATTTTAAATCCATACTGTGACTTGAATTTATGCTTCTATCCAAAAATTTTTTTATTCTCATCCTTTTGTTTTTATTTCCAAACCTAATTAACTTATTTTCTTATTAGATTTTGTCCTTATGATTAATCACTGTCAATAATCGTCAATATTCTCAACGGTGAATCCAATAATTTTTTTTAGAATATTCACTTATAATATATATAATTTTATTAATTTTATTAATAAAAAGGGCTATCAACAGAAAATTTTGAAGTATTTAGGAAATTTTTTTTTAAATTTTTGATGTTGTCCATAAACACCGTAAATGTACATTTGATTTGACCCTACATATCCTTTATCGTGTGCCATCATCATCAAAATATATTTACATTATGAATTCTTCTAACACTTTATATAAGCAGTACTTAAAATCGCCCGACTCTTTGACTCATTCGATTTTTGAATTATATATTGCCTTAAGATTAAAAATAAAAGTGAATTATTACTTATCAATTAGATTATGGGTCAATATTTCATTCATGGAATTGATTTGGCATGAACCTAACCGACAAGCTTGCCTAAAAATTTTAGTCAACTAGCCTTGGACTTAATGCCATAGCCAATCTCATCCAATCATCCTTCTCTCATCATATATCTTTGGACAGCCAAGAGATGGTGATTGATAAGGAATGGGGACTGGCTGGATTCAACTCATAATTGCTAGCTCCTAAGCATAATTTAAAGATGCAACTGATTGGCATTTGATTTTTTTTTTTTTTTGTTCATAGACGAAATAAAAATGTTATCCATCAAATTGAAGGGAACCTGACCGATTGGGGCCAAATTAAGCTTCAAAACAGCCAGAGAAAGACTGAGAAAAATATAAGACAAAGAGATTATTTTTCTTTCTTTGCATAATGAAATAGAAGAATCCTGGGTTTCACCAAACATTGGCTGCCACGTGGTTTCCAAGTCAATAATTTTTGTTAATTTCCGAGCCCAAACAGGCAGAACTCCAATTTCAACGACGTGGAGGTTTCTAATTGGATATAGGACAGATTGATGACTGGGTTAGTAAATAGTGGGGACCTCTCTTGATGTGCCTGTCAGAAAGTCGGGAAGCTTACGTGTTAAAACAAGATTGGTCTATTTTGTTACAGTTGATTAAGGTAATTTATGAATTTTTTAATTAAATAATTATGATAATAATATAGAAAGCAGTATAATATTTGAATTACTTCATAAGGTATTATTCACGTAATAAATTAAAAAAAAGAAATAATTTCCTAATCCAAAGAAAAGAAGATAGGACATTTTATTTTACTTTATTTTATTAATTTTAGTGTCTAATATAAGATGTGGGTGGAGATATTTTGGGGCCATATGATAGAAAGATTTCATAGAGGAACAGGTGAAAATTTTTGGTTTTATTTAATGTTATTTTATTCTTTTCCAGCATGTTATCCGTTAGTGTTGTCTACAGTTTTCTTTTACTTTTTTTTTTTTTTTTCATTTTTAGATTTTTAATGATCTCTCCACATAAATTAGAATCAACGGAATAATAATAAGAAAATAAATCTTATGATTTTTTCTATTTACAATGAAACACATTATCTTATCAGATTTTGAATTATTATACAATAAACAAATAATTCTATCTTATCTTATAAATTTAATATTAAAACCATTATTTCCATAATTACAAATTTATCAACTAAAATAAATTTTGGTAGGACTGCTCTTGGTGCCACTAAAAGAACATGGAAACCACGAGAAAACTTTGGAGCATGTGACAGATTTTAATATAGGAAAAGCCATGCTATTAGTTGATCCCTATCCACACTTTGTACTTAATGTAAATATATATTTATGAGAAAATTAATTTAATTCGAGGATCAGTTGCACCTATTACACAGTTTTATAGTTAAAATAATTAATATCTGTGCAATAATTATGGCACGTTTTGCTTCATTAAAATGAATAATTGATTAAGAGTAAGGATTCATTTACACTTTTTTTTTTTTAATTTTGGGATTCGGATCAAAATAAATATTTTATATCTTAGCTATTTTGATTTAATGATAAAAAAATATAACACTTACACTGATATAAATACATCTCTACTCATTAATTAAAACTAGATATTTTTTTGTAAATTAAAACAACAAAACGCCGCGTTTCACTTTCCCAATTCCCACCACACTTGCCTTTTTTTATTACATAGTATTTTCTTAAAATATAAAACCTAACCTCTTAAGAATTAAGAAACCTAGGTAATTAGGGTTTGAAAATGAAGCGAATTAATATCGACCCTCCACTATCTTTTCTCTTGTACAAGGTTCTTCTTTTTAATGTACAAGGTTATAAATTTGTAGGTTATTATAAGCCTAGCTAATTAAACCTTCAAGAAAAGCTCACGAAGTAAAATAAGAAGAAAAAAAATACTTACAAAGGAAAGACATGAAATTTGTGTTAAATTTTAGATGGGTATCCGACTTTAAAAAAATTTGATAATATATTGGAAGGCATTTGTTATATTTATGTGTTTAAATTATTTTTATTAATTTAACTGATTTGATTTTTTTTTTAATCTTCATTCTAATAGACTTATTAAATTACATCTAAAATCGATTGATAATAAATTAATTAGTGACATTGTTATATATATGTTCAAGTAAAAGTAACTATTTGGAGTTGCCCATGACTTTAATTAAAATTATTATAAGCATATGATCATACAAATTCTTTTTTTTTTTTTAATATAAAAGAGACAATTGCCCTAGAATATACCTATCATTACAAAGGTTAAATTTGATAAACTTTAACAAATTATAGCTAGTGAATAATGACATATGAATTGAGATTGGCTCCCTTTATGTTTCCTGATTCCGTAATTTTTTCTTACATATATAGGAATAGTTTCGGCAAGGTCTCAACTGTACATGGTTACAGCTTGACTGTAGTTTTCATAAAGTTGGATGCCATTAGCATTTAAGAAGATATAGATAGAATTAGGTTAAAGGGGACCAGAGACCAGAACAATTGCACGAATGGAGGGCATTTTACGACTATACGTGTTTTGATAAATTTGAAAGTTATGATGTCAACATCGGCCAGGTATATACGTCTTTGAATGGTGGTGATTGATGTATGGCTGGTATTCATGTACACATCCACATGATTTCATGGATTTTATGGATATTTAAACTTTATATATGTATAACAGTACTTCTCCTTCTATGTACAGAAGTGTTGATTATCTGGTAGATAGAATTTCATTAATTGCTAGACAATCAATTTCATCTGAGCTGATCTTACTATTACGCTGAAAATTCCCTTAATCGGATTTTTGAATGACTAAGTGCTAATTTTTTGTTTGAATTTTTTTAGTGTTTGATGCTTAATATATAATAATGTGGAACAATTTTTATGAATGATTATATTCATTGAAGGATGAAACAATCAGATTATCCAAGAAAATAAAAACCAGCACCTTATTAACTTGATTAAATCGTGTGAGGATTTCTCTTCTATTCAAATTTCACAGGAACCTAAAGTAATTTGTGGGGTCCGTTTAGGGAGGAGCTTGAAGATTGGCACTGTCCAACAAGGAAATAATAGAAGAATCTCATCACTTTTGCAATATTATCTGTAGTTTGATTTGAATGCTTCCCTTATTGAATTTGGCTAATATGTCTTTCTCCATTCATGTTATTATCCATTTAAAACTTAGACATGAGAAAATGGGCACCCACATGCTAATGGATAAGAAAAAGGTATCCACCCAATTTTTTTTTTTGAAAGAAAGGATAATTATGTTATAATCATATTGGCATTATCATGATGTGCATACTATAACCACCTTCAACACTGCTCTGTTTTTGTTTATGCATATTTTATTTATTTATATCAATTAAATGATCGATAATATAAGTTTTTTTTTTTTTTTTTTTATAAATTTCAAACCTATTATATATCATTTTTTAGGTTTTGCTTAGTAAGAATGAAGGAAAATAAATGAGGATAAAAAAATTTCTAATCTAATAGTTAAAATTCATAATTACTTTCTTACTTTCCATATAAATTTAACGGATTTTTCTTACTTTGTAATTTAATCATTAAATTTATATATTTTTCATTCTCAAACCCTTTCCATTCTTTCTACTAAACAAAACTTTAATAATAATTGTATAAATTAATTGAATTAAACCATCAATTTAGTCTTATCCTAATTAAGTGAAGTGCTCTTAATTTTGTTGTTTGGCCAACACAAGTGCTATTAATTAATTATGGTTAGTTTTCTAACTAATTAATGAGCTTTATTAAAAACATGTGACTTGTGCAAACACAACATTATTACATTTTTTTGGGTTTGGTTCACTAACTAATTAGGAGTTGTAATTTTATAGAATTAACAAACATATATTAGGTCTTTCATATAAATAAAGGACATTCTACTACTTTTTTTTTTATTTTTTACATAATCTATTTCCTATATGTACAAAAGCAAAGAGAGGATTAATTAATTTTAAGCAAATTACCAAATAATTATTTCTTATTATTTACCTTAGGGTTTAGATGGGATCATGGTTGGGAGTGACATGGCTTTGAAACCTTAACAGTTTGTGGAATATCAAATCAGGCACTATCAATTTGTCTTTAATTA